TGAAGAAAAGTCGCCCCGAGTAGAAGAGTCACTCGCCTACCCGAGCTACCATGGGCGAGCCAACATTTACTACATTTCCTTACCGAAACTTGGCGTTTAATTACACTAAAAAACAAATAGTGGGTTCGGCTAGAGCCCTTTTCCGATGGTAAGGTCACCTTCCTAGCTAAGTCAACTTTTCTCCAAGTAAACACTTGGCTTGCCCAGCCGGCTCAACTCGGTTAAGGCGAGAAAATCAGAGGATGCGAGAGCGCTGTTTTCAGCTAGGGCAAAAGGGTCAACTGATTCTCATATAAACACTTACTTAAGTTGACTCGGGCTGGGAGGATGACCCCGGGAAAATTTTTCTCTCTATAAACGGGGCCTAATTCGCGTGTTTTCTTGATATAGGTTCAATAAACAAAATAATAACTCTGCACGTGCATCACACGGTTTTGTAAATTTATTCGCCGTCACTACGTTCAGGGGCACCCAACGAGAATGTACTAATACATAGCATTGTTGAACGTATTTTGGTATTCAAACGGTGGATATAGGCATATTTTTATACCCTAAAAATTTTTCATCTGTTCGGATGTCCTAGCTGAAAGTCTAGTCAACAAAAATTACTTTTTCGAAGATTTCGGCCAGAAAAAAAGCTCCCGAAAATTCTAGGTGACCTTTTCAGCGTAAAAATCCGTTAAAAATGGGCAATTATACCATTTTTTAGATGTTCGAAAATCCCAGGAGAGGCAGGCAAACAAGAAATTTTACAACAAATATTCCGAAAATTCTAGATCTCAAATCGTCTTCCGAACAGATATTTTCCAAAAATTGACGTTGGGTGCCCGAAGACAAATTTCTTTTTCTCTATTTACACTTTGATGTCAGTGCTACCTAAATTGACCAAGTCAGCCAATTAAGATAACTCCCACAAAAAATTTAAAAGTACGCCAAATAGCTTTATAAATGACGTTTCGCTACCCGTCGCCTCCCTAATGTCAGGCGTATTAAATCTCGAGCAACTGACGTTCAGTCAGAGTCAATCTCTGTATTTTAACGCCATACGTTAGTAGTTATGTCTCACGTTAGGTTGTCTGCTTTGGACTAGAAAAGATACCAGGACGATCGAGAAACGTACCCACGTGGTTTTGACCCCGGCGGGCTTAAATTGACCGGAGACCTCAGCGACGAAAATATCGGTCACCTGGAGCGAAAGGCGACGGGTGAGAAGAGATAGCCTGGGAACGAGATTGAGTTACAGTTTTATGTTCCTAGATAATAATAGCCTGCGATCATGCTCTCCCTAAAAAAAGACGTAAAACGCCTATTCAAAAAAAGACGATAAAACATGAGAAAGTATCGCTTTACACTATTTCCTTGTTTCTGTTTTCGTCTTTTGTGGCTATGGTTTGTATTTTTGGATTCTGTTTCAGTTTTGCGGTTTAATTTTGTATTTTTTGAGTGTGTTTCCTGTTGGGGATGCATATTTCCGTTTGGGGATTTGTGTTTCTGTTTTCTGGTAGTATTTTTCTGTTTTGGGTTTGTTCTTTTCTATTTTTGTTGTTGTTGTTGTCTTGTGGTTTTTTTGTTTCTATCGGCCACCCTATATATTTGATACTCCTCTGCATTTAAATCCAACCACTGGAGAACACTTCAAAACTCCGTTGAAAATTTCTTCACAGAGATCAAACCGTCCAGGTAAGAAATAATCTCCTTTAACTTGGAATTTGTCCAATCAGATATTTCTGCAAGGTTTATTTTGATTTCCTGCTGTAGCCTTTTTTCCCTCTCTTTTTAACTTAGAAATAATTAATGACAAGTTTAGACCGGTTTGCGACCGCGAAGCAAAGTATGTTTGTTCCATGTTAAGCAAAACGTCCGACTAGAATATTGTTTTGACCGATTTGTGTTTCTCTCCCTTCGTTGTCTCCCTTTTCCGCTACTCTCTTCCACTTCCTTTCCACCCCTCCCCCACCTCCAAATCCACAACCCCTAGGCCTTCAATCAAAACCAAGAAAATCCCTACCCCTCCTCACACAAGCAACGCCAGATATTCAGGATAATTTGTGTTAAATGTTTGATCTCTCATGTTGTAGAAGTTACAGATTTATAATAATTTTCATTTTTATTACAATAGCTAACGAATAAAGACCTGCTTTGTGCATAAATTTGTGAAACTAAGTCTTGCATCGATTAAGAAGAAATTGAGGTCACGAACTTATTTAGTCAAGACATCTTTCCTCAAGCAGCTGCCTTTTAAATTTTTCAATGTGCATTGGGACTGTAAATTGTATTGTCAGAAAGGTTTTCAGAAAAAATCACGGTTTATGAATTATATCGCTTTTATTTCTGGTCTATGTAAGGCAAAGATTTCAAATTTGTTGTGGTTTTCTAGTTTGTGGTCTCTCTGAATTTCGCACGTAATGTTACGTTATTGTCGCCGGGCAGCGGACTCATTTTTGAGGATTAGACCAAGCTCCATTTCTCTGGACTTAACCTGTGTACAGCCGCCCCCTCCCGTCAGAAAAAAACATTATTTTTTAGTAACGGAAGGGCGCCTATACACAGGCTATTTGGACTGAAACATTTCATGTAAACTAGATGGGGAGAGTGTTGTGGCTTACAATAATAGAATCATCAAAGCACGGCTGCACAATGAGAAAGCCGTGTAACCTTAGTAATTTCCTCTTGGTGTTTAGATAACAAGGTCTACACTTTCTACTCATGTAAGAATTTTATAAAGAAGTGGAATCCGAAGATAATTGGACTTACTTCGGGCCTTTAGCGATTTCTTTTGACATCCTTGCACGAGCATGAAACTAAACAATAAGGTCACAAACGATAGAAATATTTCTTTTTATTATATAAACACCAATAAAATACAAGGTGAGTTTTCACGCGAAAACATGATCTTTACATGTAAAAATAACATGTCATCTTCACATGTGAAAAGATCACCGTTGCTATGGCTACGTAATAAATCGCGCCTTTCGCAGGAAAAAAATGTCTAACTGAAATGGTTTTGTATTTCATTGGTGTTTATATAATAAATAGAACATTATATAGCCGCTTGGAGATACGAAATTTCTCTCCTCGTGTTGAAGATATTTCACTGGTTCGCTGTGCTCACTCGTGAAATATTTTTCAACACTCGAAGACAAATTTCGTATCTCCGCACGGCCATGTAATATCCTGTATGTGCTACATATTCTGTGATAAAAACCTTAGGGATAGAAATGTTCCGATCCATACATTAAAGGTGAATTATTCAAAACCCTCAAAATTGACCTAAAAATCGACCTCAGAAAACCCGGCCCAAAAAGGCTGATCTATACCTCACACTAAAACAGGGACAATCGAGCCAAAACATTGGCATAATTTATAAGTCTCCATGATAGTAACGAAGTGTACCAAATTTGAAAAAAATCGACCGACACCTATTTCCAATCCTCCCTCAGGCAGAAGCTCTCAACTATATTTTCATTTGGTATCACAGGAGTTTCAAATATCATGTTTAGTTTTTGCACTTAATGAAACCTTTCTCGTTGTCTGAATATTTAAGTAGGAAACAAAGGAGATTTTTTACTTTAAACTAAGTTTACAGAAAGAAGTTTAAAATGGAAATTTCTTGAAATATTGTGTTATAACATCAATATTCAGAAATTGACAAAAAAATTCAGAAGATTTGTCAGTTAGAGTAAATCTAGGGTGGAAGGAGAGGAAAGTTCTAGCTACCTTATCAGTCTAATGGGAACATGTTCTAAGACTTCAAATGTATTAATGAGAATTATTTTCGTTTTTTCTCTACCTCCACGCTCCTTTAAAGAAGCATTACGCCCAAGAAACAGTTCCACTTTGAACACTAAAACTTCGAAATAGCAGAAAGAATACTACAAGATATAGCTGAACAAAAAAAGCGTCTGGCAATAGCGCAAATCAATAAAAACACGGCAGAGAAAGCAGATGCCTACTACAATCTAGGCACAGCTTATAACTCCCTCGGTGACTTCCATCGAGCAATAGAGTACCTAAAGCTATACTTGAGCATTGCTAAGGAAGTCGGTGACAGAGCAGGATCAGCAGGATGTGTCTGTGGCACACTCGGCGGTGCTTACCAATCCCTCGGTGACTACCAAAGAGCAATAGAGTACCACAATCAACACCTCAGGATTGCCAAGGAAGTTGGTGACAGGGCATGTGAAGGCATAGCCTATTACAATCTCGGCCTTGCTTATGACAGCCTTCAAGAATTCCAAAGAGCAATATTGTACTACAATCAAGGCCTCAGGATTGCCAAGGAAGTTGATGACAGGGAAATTGAAGGAAAAGCCTATAACAATCTCGGCGCTACTTATCGCAGCCTTAATGAATTCCAGAGAGCAATAGAGTACTACAATAAATACCTCAACATTGCCAAGAAAGTTGGTGACAGAACAGAGCAAGGCAACGCCTATGTCAATCTCGGCAGTACTTATCACGACCTTAATGAATTCCAAAGAGCAATAGAGTACTACAATAAATGCCTCATCATTGCCGAGGAAGATGGTGACAGGGCAGTGCAAAGCAAAGTCTATAACAATCTCGGCGCTATTTATTACAACAGCCTCAATGAATTCCAAAGAGCAACAGAGTACTACAATAAATGCCTCATCATTGCCAAGGAAGTTGGTGACAGGGCAGGGCAAAGCATAGCCTATGAAAATCTCGGTCGTGCTTATTACAGCCTTGAAGAATTCCATCGAGCAATATTGTACCACAATCAAGGCCTCAGGATTGCCAAAGAAGATGGTGACAGGGCATATGAAGGCAACGCCTATGACAATCTCGGCCTTGCTTATAACAACCTTAAAGAATTCCAACGAGCATTAGAGTACCACAATCAAGGCCTCAGGATTGCCAAGGAAGTTGGTAACAGGGCAGCTGAAGGACGTGCCTATGGCAATCTCGGCGCTACTTATCACAGCCTTGAAGAATTCCAACGAGCAATAGAGTGCCACAATCAAGTCCTCAGCATTGCCATGGAAGTTAGTGACAGGGTAATGGAAGGCAGAGCCTATTTCAATCTCGGCACTACTTCTCTGAGCCTTAATGAATTCCAAAGAGTAATAGAGTACTACAATAAATACCTCATCATTGCTAAGGAAGTTGGTGACAGGGCAGGGCAAGGCAAAGCCTATGCCAATCTCGGTGTTGCTTATTGTCGCCTTAATGAATTGCGCAGAGCAATAGAGTACACCAATAAACACCTCATCATTGCCGAGGAAGTTGGTGACAGGACAGGGCAAGGCGAAGCCTATGCCAATCTCGGTGTTGCTTATTGTCGCCTTAATGAATTCCAAAGAGCAATAGAGTACACCAATAAACACCTCATCATTGCCGAGGAAGTTGGTGACAGGGCAGGGCAAGAAAAAGCCTATGCCAATCTCGGCCTTGCTTATCGCAGCCTTAATGAATTCCAAAGAGCAATAGAGTACTTCAATAGACAGCTCAGCATTGCCGAGGAAGTTGGTGACAGGGAAGCGCAAGGCATAGCCTATAACAATCTCAGCAGCAGTCATTCCGCTCTCGGCGAATTTCAACGAGCAAAAGAGTGCCACGATCAAACCCTCATCATTGCCGAGGAAGTTGGTGACAGGGCAATGCAAGGCGGAACCTATGCCAATCTTGGCAGCCTTTATCACAGCCTTGAAGACTTTCGACGAGCAAAGGAGTGCCACGAGAAAGCGTTTAGCATTTTCAAGGAAGTCGGTGACAGACAAGGAAAAGGACATGCCCATTTAAGAATCGGCGCGGTTTATGATTCCCTCGGCGATTTGCCACGAGCAATGGAGTACTACAAGCAATCCCTGAGCAATGCTGAGGAAATCGATGACAGGAAAGGACAAGGAAATGCCTATTGCCACCTCGGAAGTTGTTATGAAAAACTCGACGACTTCAAGCAAGCAATAGAGTGTTACAAGCAACACCTAAATATTGCCGAGGAAATCGGTGACAGGACGGGAGAAGCATGTGCCCATGCCCGTCTGGGTCAATCTTTTTTGTATTCATATTCTTTGAATGAGGCTTTAGAACATTTTAGATGCTGTGTTAAAATCTATGACAGTATTAGGGCCCATTCTATCTCGGAGGATCAATTGAAAATAAGTTTCCGTGCGCAACATCAATTTGCCTATACTCATTTATGGCTGGTTTTAGTAATGCTTGAAAGGAATGATGAGGCTTTATACGCCGCTGAGAGGGGACGGGCACAGGCTTTGCTCGATGCCTTAAAAGAAACTTATGGCCTTACATCACCTTCTCCCAGGTCAATTGAATCTGAAGAAGAAGTCAGAAATATTTCAAGGAAGACAACTGTTTTGACAGTTTTTCTTGCCCTTCATTTGAAAACAGTGAATATGTGGGTGTTGGGAAAAGAAGAACACCCTATCTTTAGGCAATTGAAGTTACAAGGAATTGGAAAAGAGCACGAAGATTCCTTTTCTGTCCTTTTAGACATTGTTTTAAAAACCATTGGGGCTGGCAGAGGTATCAGGTGCGAAAATCGGTCAATGGATAAGCTGAGTACAACAACTTCAACTACTCGAGACGAACATCCAGCATCGGAGGCATCACAGGAGACCACCGACTGTTTGCAGCAATTATATGATGTACTTATTGGTCCCACTGAAGACTTGCTTGATGGTGATGAACTAATTGTAGTTCCTGATGGCGCTTTGTCTAAAGCTCCTTGGGCAGCCCTGAGTGAAACTTTAAGGATCCGCATTGTTCCCTCACTGACAAGTTTGAAACTCATCACAGATTCTCCAATTGAATACCACAGTAAAAGTGGAGCCCTGCTTGTTGGAGATCCATGCTTGAAGAAAATTACAGATAGACGGGGGAACCCCATTTATGATCCACTGAAGCACGCAAAAGAGGAAGTAGAGATGATTGGAGAAATTCTAAAGAGTTAACCCTTAACAGGTGAAGATGCAACCAAAGAAGCGGTACTTCAGAGAATCGGGTCAGTTGCTTTAGTACACATCGCAGCCCACGGAAAAAAGGAAAAAGGAGAAATTCTTTTGGCTCCAGATCCCCGATGTAAATCCAAGCGTCCTAAGGAGGAGGACTGCATTATGAAAATGTCTGACATACAAGCTGTGAAGCTGAGAGCAAGGCTAGTTGTGCTTAGTTGCTGCCACAGTGGTCAAGGACCGGTCTCGTCTGAGGGTGTGGTCGGTATGGCACGTGCTTTCTTGTTTGCTGGTGCTCGTTCCGTGCTCGCGACACTCTGGGCAATTGATGACGAAGCCACAATGATGTTTATGAAATCTTTCTACCAACAACTTGGAAGTGGAGAAAGTGCAAGTGTCGCTCTTCAGAGGGCCATGAAATGTCTTCGAGACTCCCAGGATTATTCTGCTCCAAAGTACTGGGCTCCTTTTGTTCTGATGGGCGATGACGTTAAGATTGAATTGGGCGGGAAAAAGAGTCATGGAGCAAGTCGTAAGTGTTTTTTTTTTCTTGCTGTTCTAGTAACAAAAGGCTTAAGAAGAAAAGCTAGAACCATTCTTGTCAAATCCAGATAAGAGGAAAATGACAGACTTGCAATTGATAATAAAAAGAATAAAAATATGTATAAAGCAAGGATGGGTTGGGTGGTAAGTGTTAAATTATTATGGATTCACTCAAGTAAATGCTATTTCTAACGGGCTACCAACACATTTCAAAAATCAATTGAACACTGGGCATTGCTTAATGTTCTCAATTGTTAAATACTTTAGGTCAGGTGTGGATAAAAGATATACATAGGGAATAAGTTTCCTCCGTTTTTCTACACAGCACTAATGTAGAGAAATTCATAGCTTCAAAACGAACAAATATGTCAAAGATGTTAAATGTTCTTCATTTTGCTATTTTTCATATCATCATCCATGGCATCCAGAAATTTAACTCTTTGACCATTATTTTGCTTTGAAATGAAAGATTTATTAATGTATCAATTGTTACTTTCTTTACAGGGATGCGCTGAAAGTCTGATGTCAACACAACTGCTGAAGTAGCGTGTATATATCTGGATTTCCCCGAAGAAAGAAGTGCGTTATTTAATAGCTGTCCTCAATGGGGCGTTTGGTAAAAAAGCGTCTTTTCATTAAAGTCATTTTTTGTCAGAAGATTTTAAATAGAGAGATTTATAGTCCCGCTAACGGCAAATGGCAAACGTCTACAGATTCAAGTTGCGAATTTCTCAAAATAGAAAATATGCAGATAAAATGAAAACAGCTCCAAGCAATTCTTATGGATAAAACTAACTTGAAACTAACAATTTTTTGTAGATTTATTTAACAGCAAACGAGCAAGCTCGAGAATTAAAGGGAACACTTAGTCACGTGGTACAAATCCACGGTTTGCCGTATAAACGAAACCCTAAATCTCTCTAATTAATAACATCCAAAAACGTTCTAAATCAAAGGGCATACTGTATACTGTGAAGCTCTATATTAGCCTCGGCTACACTTATCAATTTTAACTTAGGAAAAAGACAAGCAATTTTCGTGGGGAAAGAACTTAACGTTGTTTACAAGTATTTCGTTACTCCCGCGAAAATGACTGAATAGTAGTACAGATGATTGCCCCTTTTCTCGCGTAACCTACCTTAACCGGCAAATTGTAATTTGGCAAAGGAAAATTGCATTGTAATAATTGTAATATTGATGATAATCATCATCACCATCATCATAATCTTAGTAATTTCTTTTCAGTTTTTTTCCTTTCGACTTTAAAGCAAATGACTGAAACAAATAATTCAAATTAATTTAACAGGGTTAACCCTCGGACGTACACGCAAATTCATACCCCAGCGTGGTATAAGGGGGAGGGGTGGATTCGGCGCGGTTTATGATTCCCTCGGCGATTTGCCACGAGCAATGGAGTACTACAAGCAATCCCTGAGCAATGCTGAGGAAATCGATGACAGGAAAGGACAAGGAAATGCCTATTGCCACCTCGGAAGTTGTTATGAAAAACTCGACGACTTCAAGCAAGCAATAGAGTGTTACAAGCAACACCTAAATATTGCCGAGGAAATCGGTGACAGGACGGGAGAAGCATGTGCCCATGCCCATCTGGGTCGATCTTTTTTGTATTCATATTCTTTGAATGAGGCTTTAGAACATTTTAGATGCTGTGTTAAAATCTATGACAGTATTAGGGCCCATTCTATCTCGGAGGATCAATTGAAAATAAGTTTCCGTGCGCAACATCAATTTGCCTATACTCATTTATGGCTGGTTTTAGTAATGCTTGAAAGGAATGATGAGGCTTTATACGCCGCTGAGAGGGGACGGGCACAGGCTTTGCTCGATGCCTTAAAAGAAACTTATGGCCTTACATCACCTTCTCCCAGGTCAATTGAATCTGAAGAAGAAGTCAGAAATATTTCAAGGAAGACAACTGTTTTGACAGTTTTTCTTGCCCTTCATTTGAAAACAGTGAATATGTGGGTGTTGGGAAAAGAAGAACACCCTATCTTTAGGCAATTGAAGTTACAAGGAATTGGAAAAGAGCACGAAGATTCCTTTTCTGTCCTTTTAGACATTGTTTTAAAAACCATTGGGGCTGGCAGAGGTATCAGGTGCGAAAATCGGTCAATGGATAAGCTGAGTACAACAACTTCAACTACTCGAGACGAACATCCAGCATCGGAGGCATCACAGGAGACCACCGACTGTTTGCAGCAATTATATGATGTACTTATTGGTCCCACTGAAGACTTGCTTGATGGTGATGAACTAATTGTAGTTCCTGATGGCGCTTTGTCTAAAGCTCCTTGGGCAGCCCTGAGTGAAACTTTAAGGATCCGCATTGTTCCCTCACTGACAAGTTTGAAACTCATCACAGATTCTCCAATTGAATACCACAGTAAAAGTGGAGCCCTGCTTGTTGGAGATCCATGCTTGAAGAAAATTACAGATAGACGGGGGAACCCCATTTATGATCCACTGAAGCACGCAAAAGAGGAA